TATAGTATACTTCAGAGTATAATACTCACCATAATATAGTATACATCAGAGTATAATACTCACCAGAATATAGTATACTTCAGAGTATAATACGCACCATAATATAGTATACTTCAGAGTATAATACTCACCATAATATAGTATACATCAGAGTATAATACGCACCATAATATAGTATACATCAGAGTATAATACCATAATATAGTATACTTCCGAGTATAATACACACCATAATACAGTATACTTTAGAGTATAATACACACCAGAATATAGTATACATCAGAGTATAATACACACCATAATATAGTATATTTCAGAGTATAATGCTCACCAGAATATAGTATACTTCAGAGTATAATACTCACCATAATATAGTATACATCAGAGTATAATACGCACCATAATATAGTATACATCAGAGTATAATACTCACCATAATATAGTATACTTCAGAGTATAATACTCACCATAATATAGTATATTCAGAGTATAATACACACCATAATATAGTATACATCAGAGTATAATAAGCACCAGAATATAGTATACTTCAGAGTATAATACACACCATAATATAGTATACATCAGAGTATAATACTCACCATAATATAGTATATTCAGAGTATAATACACACCAGAATATAGTATACTTCAGAGTATAATACTCACCAGAATATAGTATACTTCAGAGTATAATACGCACCATAATATAGTATATTCAGAGTATAATACTCACCTTAATATAGTATACTTCCGAGTATAATGCGCACCATAATATAGTATACTTCAGAGTATAATGCTCACCATAATATAGTTTACATCAGAGTATAATACTCACCATAATATAGTATACATCAGAGTATAATACTCACCATAATATAGTATACATCAGAGTAAAATACGCACCATAATATAGTATACTTCAGAGTATAATACTCACCATAATATAGTATACATCAGAGTATAATACGCACCATAATATAGTATACATCAGAGTATAATGCTCACCAAAATATAGTATACATCAGAGTATAATACTCACCATAATATAGTATACATCAGAGTATAATACACACCATAATATAGTATACTTCCGAGTATACTTCCTGTCCCCCACTCCCCACCCCTCTGTAACATTGTGTGGCCCCTGCTCGGCCCTCGCTTCCTAGAAAGGCCACTGTAAGGTAGTAGGGACTTTAACCGATAGTCTCATTGACAGTAGAATTGTATGCATGGGTTAAACTAAAGTCTTAATATATTTCCACCAATCTGTTTTTTGGAGCCTATCTAGGAGAGTTCTATTTTTATAGTTCAGCAGGATTACATTGTGTAAATGTAGTTCTTTGTGGTACAAAGTTTGTAAAGTTATTATTATCGTATCGTAAGAAGGGACTATGCCAGGCATTAGTAGAAAAACAAGCATAATTTGAATTACATCCGGTTTATTTATTCCCACATGGCCTTTTTCTGCACACCGAAACTATATTCTCATCATATTCCTACATAAAATATTCCACATAAATGTCAATAGTAGTTAAAGGGAAGAAACTCTTCAAGTAATAAATATTAAATACAAACTACAATGAACTGATATAATATATAACAATTAGCTTGTAATATAAATAATTCAATAAATAAACTAAAACTAAATATAGCTAGAAACTGTAGAATAGCATCAATCTTCTTTTCGACTTTTCTAAAACAGAAGAAATATAATTTGACTGATAATGGGTGTGGAACAGATTGAACGGTAGTAGAAATTCTATCAAAATAAGACAGTGTAGGCTTACCTCTGTCTCAAATCCAAAAGTCTTAACTGTTGTTGCTTAGGGTGCCCTTTTTATAGTCATAAATAATCTATTTCAAATGAATTTCTGAAGGCAAAGTTAGACTTATTGTCCGACAATTCGATTTTCCGGGCCGGGGTCCGAAGGTCCAAAGTCCCTTGAGGCCAGAGGTCCATATAGGGGCTGACAGAAAACCCAAGAAGCCAAAGGATATTAGATGGCATGAGATGAATTGATGGCTTAATGACCCAATGTCCCTCTCGTAAATACACTCTATGGCTAAAAATAAACAAAATAACGACATTTATACAGTTTTTACAATAATGATAATAAACCAATACACCAAGGTGACATGGTCCTGTCTACAAACATAGACCCTTTATTACATGGGTCAGAATTATGTACAATACACCAAGGTGACGTGATCCTGTCTAACATTCAACCCATGGTGACAAACATAGCCTCTTTATTTTACATAGGTCAGAATTAGGTCCAATACCCCAAGGTGACATGGTCCTGTCTAACATTCAACCCATGGGGACAAACATAGCCTCTTTATTTTACATAGGTCAGAATTAGGTTCAATACACCAAGGTGACATGGCCATGTCTAACATTCAACCCATGGTGACAAACAAAGCCTCTTTATTTTACATGGGTCAGCATTAGGTCCAATACACCAAGGTGACATGATCCTGTCTAACATTCAGTCCATGGTGACAAACATAGCCTCTTTATTTTACATGGGTCAGCATTAGGTCCAATACACCAAGGTGACATGATCCTGTCTAACATTCAGTCCATGGTGACAAACATATACTCTTTATTTTACATGGGTCAGCATTAGGTCCAATACACCAAGGTGGCGTGATCCTGTCTAACATTCAGTCCATGGGGACAAACATAGACTCTTTATTTTACATGGGTCAGAATTAGGTCCAATACACCAAGGTGACATGGTCCTGTCTAACATTCAGTCCATGGTGACAAACATAGCCTCTTTATTTTACATGGGTCAGAATTAGGTCCAATACACCAAGGTGACATGGTCCTGTCTAATATTCAACGCATGGTGACAAACATAGACTCTTTATTTTACATGGGTCAGCATTAGGTCCAATACACCAAGGTGACATGGTCCTGTCTAATATTCAACCCATGGTGACAAACATAGACTCTTTATTTTACATGAGTCAGCATTAGGTCCAATACACCAAGGTGACATGGTCCTGTCTAACATTCAACCCATGGGGACAAACAAAGCCTCTTTATTTTACATGGGTCAGCATTAGGTCCAATACACCAAGGTGACATGATCCTGTCTAACATTCAGTCCATGGTGACAAACATAAACTCTTTATTTTACATGGGTCAGAGTTAGGTCCAATACACCAAGGTGACATGATCCTGTCTAACATTCAACCCATGGTGACAAACATAGCCTCTTTATTTTACATGGGTCAGCATTAGGTCCAATACACCAAGGTGATATGGTCCTGTCTAACATTCAACCCATGGGGACAAACATAGCCTCTTTATTTTACATGGGTCAGCATTAGGTCCAATACACCAAGGTGACATGGTCCTGTCTAACATTCAACCCATGGGGACAAACATAGCCTCTTTATTTTACATGGGTCAGCATTAGGTCCAATACACCAAGGTGACATGGTCCTGTCTTACATTCAACCCATGGGGACAAACATAGCCTCTTTATTTTACATTGGTCAGAATTAGGTCCAATACACCAAGGTGACATGATCCTGTCTAACATTCAGTCCATGGTGACAAACATAGCCTCTTTATTTTACATTGGTCAGAATAAGGTTCAATACACCAAGGTGACATGGTCCTGTCTAATATTCAACCCATGGAGACAAACATAGACTCTTTATTTTACATGGGTCAGAATTAGGTTCAATACACCAAGGTGACATGATCCTGTCTAACATTCAGTCCATGGGAACAAACATAGACTCTTTATTTTACATGGGTCAGAATTAGGTCCAATACACCAAGGTGACATGGTCCTGTCTAACATTCAGTCCATGGGAACAAACATAGACTCTTTATTTTACATGGGTCAGAATTAGATCCAATACACCAAGGTGACATGGTCCTGTCTAACATTCAGTCCATGGTAACAAACATAGACTCTTTATTTTACATGGGTCAGAATTAGGTCCAATACACCAAGGTGACATGATCCTGTCTAACGTTCAACCCATGGTGACAAACATAGACTCTTTATTTTACATGGGTCAGAATTAGATCCGATACACCAAGGTGACATGGTCCTGTCTAACATTCAACCCATGGTGACAAACATAGACTCTTTATTTTACATGGGTCAGAATTAGGTCCAATACACCAAGGTGACATGGTCCTGTCTAACATTCAGTCCATGGGAACAAACATAGACTCTTTATTTTACATGGGTCAGAATTAGGTTCAATACACCAAGGTGACATGGTCCTGTCTAACGTTCAACCCATGGTGACAAACATAGCCTCTTTATTTTACATGGGTCAGCATTAGGTCCAATACACCAAGGTGACATGGTCCTGTCTAATATTCAACGCATGGTGACAAACATAGACTCTTTATTTTACATGGGTCAGGATTAGGTCCAATACACCAAGGTGACATGGTCCTGTCTAATATTCAACCCATGGTGACAAACATAGACTCTTTATTTTACATTGGTCAGAATTAGCTCCAATACACCAAGGTGACATGGTCCTGTCTAATATTCAACCCATGGGGACAAACATAAACTCTTTATTTTACATGGGTCAGAATTAGGTCCAATACACCAAGGTGACATGGTCCTGTCTAACATTCAACCCATGGTGACAAACATAGCCTCTTTATTTTACATAGGTCAGAATTAGGTCCAATACACCAAGGTGACATGGTCCTGTCTAACATTCAACCCATGGTGACAAACATATACTCTTTATTTTACATGGGTCAGAATTAGTTAATCAGTAATTGTGTTCACGCCTCACTGTCAAAATTTGAGCCTTCAAATCCTTGTGTGTCTGTGTTTGAAAGTTGAAAAAACGAGAAAAGTGAAAATTTCTAGTTTGAAATATTTTAAAGGAATTATGCGATTTTCGTACATTTCTAGTACCTCTGAAGGCTTTTTACATATATTCAAAACCAAATTCACCCCCAAAAATAGCGAACTTGTCACTTTAATTAACACCAATTATTTATTACACACATAACCAGCCAATAACCGCAAATTTTGCCACACAAAATCACCGGGCGGATGAATATCGAAATTTTCGAACGCTGTACTCATGTCCCAGATGTTTAAAAACCATATTTTATCATGAAATTCGGCCAGTTCTCTTTTCAATATATCCATATAAAGTTTGCCGTGATATATACTGAACTGTCCTGAACACCTTGATAAATAAAAAACATGCGGTGATTTGATTGCTATATGTATGTCCTTATTTCTCTTTAAGGCGTTTCGAATTGGTGTTTTCAGAGATCGAATCCTCTCAATAAAAAAAGAATAATGTATTCTCATAAAATGAGCATAATAATGAATGACGAAAACGATTCGTCCAGAACTCGGTGCCTCGTTTAACAGAACGGATACCGGTTTCAAGTTCGTTTTTCCATCTGGTGTTTTCATACCCTCCTCAAAAGGAAATTCCTGAACTGCCCATGTAAGACTAAAATTATACCGAGGAATCTGACAATGGGATACCCCATACCACTTCCGTTTCGTCCACTCTGCTGTAGTCTGGCTACATTTAAAGACATTCTGTATATGAACGTAATATTGACGAACAGTCGAGTCCCCAAACGCTATCAAAGTTGTGTTTTTAAAACAATTTAAAAAGTTCCTCTGATTCACAGGATTGTGGCATTTTATATGTTCCCAATCTGTTCCGTTAAAATATCCTGTGGGATGTATCATGTCCCAGGTCTCACGGCGGGCTAATTTGGTACAGTCAATCTTATTTGGCTTGGGCTGAGATGTACGACCTGAAAATAAAGATGTAAATATGAAAGATTAATCTCTACAGTTAGTTGACGTCGCCACCATGACGTTAGATGACGTCGCCAGATTGACGTTAGTTGACGTCGCCATATTGATGTTAGCTGATGTCGCCATCTTGCAGTTAGTTGACGTCGCCATCTTAACGTTAGCTGATGTCGCCATCTTGTAGATAGTTGACGTCGCTATCTTAACGTTAGTTGACGACGCCATCTTGACGTTAGTTGACGTCGCCATTTGGACGTCAGTTGACGTCACTATCTTGACGTCAGTTGACGTCACTATCTTGACGTTAGCTGACGTCGCCATATTGACGTAAGATGACGTCACTATCTTGACGTTAGTTGGCGACGCCATCTTGTCGTTAGTTGCCGTGACGTCGCAATTTGGACGTCAGTTGACGTCACCATCTTGACGTTAGCTGACGTCGCCATGTTGATGTTAGCTGATGTCGCCATATTGACGTAAGTTGACGTCGCCATATTGACGTATGATGACGTCGCCATACTGACGTATGATGACGTCGCCATATTGACGTTATTTGACGTCGACACCATGACGTCAGTTGACTCCGCCATTTTGACGTTAGCTGACGCCGCCATCTTGACGTTAACTGACGTCGCCATCTTGACGATAGTTTGCGACGCCATTTTGACGTTAGTTGACGTCGCAATTTGGACGTCAGTTGACGTCACCATCTTGACGTTAGTTGACGCCGCCATATTGACGTAAAATGATGTCGCCATATTTGTCATTATTTGTCGTCGACACCATGACGTCAGTTGAACCTGCCATTTTGACGTTAGTTGACGTCGCCATATTGACGTTAGTTGACGTCGCCTTTTGGACGTCAGTTGACGTCACTATCTTGACGTAAGTTGACGTCACTATCTTGACGTTAGTTGACGTCGCCATATTGACGTAAGATGACGTCGCCATCTTGACATTAGTTGACGTCGCCATTTGGACGTCAATTGACGTCACTATCTTGACGTCAGTTAACGTCACTATCTTGACGTTAGTTGACGTCGCCATATTGACGTAAGATGACGTCGCCATCTTGACGTTAGTTGACGTCGTCATATTGACGTAAGATGACGTCGTCATATTGACGTAAGATGACGTCGCCATATTGACGTAAGATGACGTCTACACATTTTTACGTTAGCTGACGCCGCAATCTTGACGTTAGCTGACGTCGCCATATTGACCTTAGTTGACGTCATCGTCTTACCGTTAGTTGACGCCGCCATATTGACGTCATTTGACGTAGCCACCATGATGTTAGTTGACGTCTCCATCGTCAACTAAAGTCAAGCTGGCGACGTCAACTAACGTCGATTAACATCAAGATGTCTAGGCAGAGGAAAAAATAATATTAGAAGAATCTGTGGTGGTTTTCGACATACATTATGTAGAAGATGTTTTCCCCAAGCAAACCATCACCCATGAAGTTTGAGCTCTACTTAACAACCGAATAGAGCGTGGAGTTATTTCTATAATTACCTGGTTGTATCTTTAACTTAATCTGTGATGAAATCATGATTTTTCTATCATGTCTGAAAAATAAAGTAAAATATCAAGAATACCTATTATATATATTATACCTAATACATTAAAATACTCACAGTATTAGGGCATTTTTGACTAGAAATCAAGTCGTACTCTATTAATTATAATATTAATAAATGAACTAACTAAATAAAGTACTAACGATCCGATCAGTTAATAGGTTACCGCAGCCGTAGTCCGAAACATCTGTCTCTTTCAAGTCTCTGATTGCTAATCCCAATTCCACAAAAATTCTCAAGATAAGAATTTGTTTGTTATTGTGAAATATCATTCTTATGACAAAATTGATCACTAGAATTTTTATGGTATGGGGCTGGAATTGTGCTGATGTTTCTCAGCAATGACCCACCCCCCTCCCCCGAAAAACTTTTGAGATCATCACTGAACTAAACACCACTGCCACACCGGATGTATCATTTGCCCGTCCGATTAATAAAATTTGGCTACGGGTCAGATGTTTCTGTCTTCCAGGTCGCTAAAGACTATAAAAGTCCAATTTATATGTGTCCATTATAGGGAAAACAGTTATTATCAACAAAAACAAAATAAATAAATAAATTATTAACCTTTCAAAAGTGTTGTATAGAGCTGTAGTGAGTGGAATATAAATGTAGTCGTAATCTTTAGCAAATACAAAATCATTACACGTCAGGTTACCATTAAAAGGTTTTCCACAATACCATCCATATCCATAATTCATGTCTGTTAAATTACAGATGAGTTTATATCCAGGGATAACAGAAAACATAGAACAGAGAGTAAATTCCTTCAGTTTCGCTCTTTTAAAATGACCAACATAGAAATTGATGGATCTATATTCTCGTCCTAGTTGAAAATTAAAAGCGCTTGCCTCCCTTGTAAATGGCAAGGCTCCCATGATTATTGAATCTCCTTCCCATAATGCTCTTAATGTAGCAACGTAGCTTCCGTTTTTTAGATCTACCACTTCCGCACTACTTGCTCGCCTTGGACCTTTAGCTGATTTCATCCAAACTTGAACGAAATCGGCACCGACGGTCCGCTGTTGTCCGGTTCCGTCTTTCACATCGACGCGTACGTTGATGGTATCCCCGACCTTAAATATTGTAGAATCTACTAGAACCAACTTTGAGAGAGTAGCACTCGAAGTTTTGTTTATATCCTCCAAAACTTCAACGTATAGAAGTTCTTTCTCGACGGGTAGCATAGGTTCCGTTATTGGCGGGAATGTCCCCAAAAAACTAGCAGGTGTTTGTTTTTCGAAGACCTCCAGAGGAAAACAAGAACACACTGGATTTCCACACTGTTTGAGTCCGGTTTGATTTTCGAGATTTTTTAAACAATGAGCTCTTTTAAACTGATGTCGACATCCACCTGGTCGAGAAGTATTGTAAACTATAAGTTTCTGTGGTTTGATCTTAAAATGGACGACGTTCTGGTCAGCTTTCTTCGCTAGTAGTGAACTGAAACTATACAAATTATCGTATATTTTTATGTATTGAGGTTTAAAATTGAGGGTTAGAGAAGTGATTGTACATAAAAAATATCTTAACGTTCTAAAACTTTGTACCTTATTGGCTAAAGAAGATAGACAACACCATGGACTGTACAATGGCGAAAATATGTACAAGGCCTCTGCATATGCTGACTTCAACTGTTATAGGAAATTGGACCCCGAAACTTCGTAACAGTGAGACCGTTATTAACATGCAAACTTTGATATCTAGTTTAGTGTTAATTTATTTTTACAGGCTACAGAAGTTAAGTCACCCGCAAAATAAAAAAAAAGAGACAAAAAAGAACATAAAAAGAGACAAGCCACTACGTGAGAAATATTAATCTTCATTATAATCGATATGTTATGGATATTCAACAAAAACACAAGAAAAGAAAGAAACTGTGTATGTAGAGAGGTCGGTGAATTGTTCCCGGGTATGAAATGATGTTATTATTATTTGAATTATTGGTCGATCTAGTAATTGATTTTTATATACAATAAATACATTGTATACGTTTCTTTTAAATATATTAACAAAAAGGTGGACAAAGAAAAATGTTTGTGGACACAAAGGTGGGCAGATCTCGACTTGTTTGTACGAAACTACGTATAATTCTTACATGGAAATAACACACACGAAAGTAGTTCACGGCCATTTTCGACTTAAAGATGGGTTTCCTCATTTTTTAGTGTCAATTTAGCAACTTATTTGATTAATTGGTGTTTCTAATGAATTATCATGTATTCTTAATCATATCATTATGTTCTTATTGCATAGTTTTAACCAATCATAAATGGCCATGTAAGTACAGTCTGGATAAAGAAAAAAAAGACTTTTTGATCAGTCACTCATTGGAATTCTGCTGGTAATTATCTTCTAATTTAGCTAATTATGAATTAATTATGGACATGTGAGACAAACTGGTATTTTCCAAAAAAAAAACATGAATGGAGTTTTACGTCCTACTCTTCTGCGCTGGTATTTTCCAAGTCATTAGAACACCTCTACTTTCTATTCATACAAGTATTAGCATTTTCATTTTCAGAAATGAAAATAAGGGAACCCATCTTTAATACGTCGAATTTTATCAAAGGCCTGATAATTCAACGAAGCCTTCAAATCACATTTTTCTAAACCTTTAAATATGATTTGAAGGCTTGGTTGAAATATTAGTACTTTTAAAGAAATTCGAATGATTAATTCGACTAACAACTAACAAGCTAACAAGCTAACAACTAACAAGCTAACAACTAACATGCTAACAAGCTAACAACTAACAAGCTAACAATCTAACAAGCTAACAACTAACAAGCTAACAACTAACAAGCTGACATGCTAACATACTAACAGATAACATACTAACAACTAACAAGCTAACAACTAACAACCTAACAAGCTAACAAGCTAACAACTAACATGCTAACAAGCTAACATGCTAACAACTAACAAGCTAACAAGTAACATACTGACAAATAACATGCTAACAAGCAAACATGCTAACAACTAACAAGCTAACAACTAACATACTAACAACTAACATACTAACAACTAACATGCTAGCATGCTAACAAGCTAACAACTAACAAGCTAACATGCTTACAACTAACAAGCTAACAGCTAAAAAGCTAACAACTAAAAAGCTAACAACTAACAAGCTAACAACTAACAATCTAACAATATAACATGCTAACATACTAACAGCTAACATACTAACAGCTAACATACTAACAACTAACAATCTAACAACTAACATGCTAACAGCTAACATACTAACAGCTAACATGCTAACAACTAACATGCTAACAACTAACATACTGACAGCTAACAAACTAACAATCGAACAATCTAACTACTAACAACTAACATACTTACAACTAACATACTTACAAGTAACAAGCTAACAGCTAACATACTAACAATCTAACAGCTAACATACTAACAACTAACAATCTAAAAACTAACATACTAACAGCTAACATGCTAACAACTAACACACTAACAGCTAACATACTAACATACTACCAGCTAGCAAACTAACAACTAACAAACTAACAGCTAACATACTAACAACTAACAAGCTAAAAACTAACAATCTAACAGCTTACATGCTAACAACTAACATGCTAACAACTAACATATTAACAACTAACATACTGACAACTAACATGCTAACAACTAACATACTAACATCTAACATGCTA